AGCCTGTTGAACAGCAGTCAAGTTAGTTTTAACTACTTTTTTTTAATCTTTACCATTAGTATAACCTATATAAATTCATCCTAACTGGTAATATCCAATTAGTCCCTTTACTTGATTTCCTTTTTTATTACAAGCACTGCAAATGCAAGGACTAGTGGTTTTATATGACCTGCTAAATATTGTTCTTGAACTAATTGTTCTAAAATTTCTAATTTCTTTCTAGTTAGGGGCCACTGTTCCACCCAAATTGGTTTTTTTCTTTTAGCCAAGTTAAGGGGAGAGCATGAGGAACAATGGCCTTCATTATAAATTTGGATATCTTAATCCTTTTCTTGAAAGATTAAATTTAGGTTTTTGAAAACTAACAATCCCCTGATTCTTTTTACTCAGCACCTTATCTTTTGCTGGAGTTGAAATAGTGGGAATTTGCAGTGTTACTCCCCACTTGTCATATAAAGTTCTACATTCATTACTCCAATGATATCCTTTTCCACATTTTCTACAAAGCCCTGAAGGTGTGGATTTTTTCTATACATCTCTACTCTTCTTTCTTTATGACAATCTCTTTTCAAATGTCCTAATTTTCCACAATTGTAACATTTGATTTGAGACGAATTTAAAGTTCCTCTTAAAGCAGCAGCTAGTAGATTGGCTTGATAAGAACTAGTTCCAATGTCCATACAAGCACGTGTATATTCATCTAGGGAAGCATTCTGAGTCTTCAATGATCCAATAGCCTTTTGACATTCTGAATTAGCATTTTCATATGCTAAAGTTTTTAACAAAAGCTTACGAACTTTGGGTTGAGATACTGCTCTATCAGTTGCATCTTTTAACCTGGATAGAAAATCAGTATATTTTTAATTTTCAGATTGTGTTGTTCTGATAAAGGATTGATTTCCCTTTCTACCTTATCCCAGGCTTGCATACAGCAGAGCCTTACTTGTGCAATCACAGCATCATCATATTGTAACTGTGCTCGTACTCCAAGCCATTGACCTTTCCCCAACAATTGATCAGCAGTAACATTAACAGGAGGATTTCTAGGTAAATTAATCCTCTCCATATTTGTAGCTTCATCAGTCCATGTTCTAAACTGTAAATATGCTCCAGATTCCAAAACCATCCTGTCCAGACTCTCAAGCATAAGGAATTAACCTAAATTCTGTAGCTAATCCTTGTAATATGCCTCTTACATAGGTAGAATGCATACCATAAGCAACTATGGCTTGCTTTAATTTTTTTATAGTCTTATGTTGATACAATTGATACCCCTGGGGTCATTCTTGATCAGGAGGCATATCCTGAATTGTTACTGGAAATACAAAACCTCCTTTCCCCCAGTTAGATAAATCATCTTGCTGTGCCTGTTGTAAGGCCCTGGACATGGCTGTTAAAGGTTTCTTAAAAGTAGTTACTTCCACCGGAGCACGATTCATATCATTAAATTACATAGAATCTGGAACAGTTGCTGCTGATGGAGAATCCAATTTGTCTATTTTATTAGAAAGTTCTAAAATTTGTTTACTTAATTTCTTATAAGGACTAGCATACTTGATTATATCTTTCAATTCCTCCGGAGTTGGAGGTAGAGGATTCATAAGGAAAAGGGGATGGCGTATTCTCTTAGCTACTTCCTGCTGAAAAGGGACGCTGTAGGCTTCAGGGTGAAGATCTTCTCTCACTACTCTAAAGGGCCCCTTTGGCAGTAGGAAACACATAGACTATTATTGGAGGTTGAT